AGTACTACTGCCCCACTGTGTTTATGTCCATTTTTATAGATAACAGTGTCATACAGTGTCAGAAACCACATGAGTGGGTCTATTTGAGATTATTTAACAACACAGTTAGAGGTAGGTTTGCGATGGTCAATGCTAATCATGAAGCTAATAAGCTTCAATTTCTTGCTAGCCGTTAGCCTTGTAGCTGCAGTGCTAAACTAAAGAAGCAAACTTCAGACACCAATCGTGTCTTAGCTGAGGAGAAAATTGGGTAAATTCGATTTTTAGTCAAACTATATCGCTTTAACCTGGGCTTGCTAATGAATGTTATAAAGGCCTATGGTGTTAAAATGTGCAGGGCAAATTAGGTCAAACAAATCAGCAGGAAGTAATTCTCACTTATGTGAGATAGACAGATGACAGACAGCAAGCCATCCATAGCACTGGAATAAACTGAATGTTAATTTTTTGGGAGCCACAGATGCCAAACGTCTCATTGTTGAATTCCAGACGAACCCAGTATTAAACACAACACAAAATAAAAGAGTGCAGAAGGCCCTCCTGACTTTTTCCACCTTAAATAAACAATTGACACTGCTATAGCTCTCCTCTGACAGGCATCACCATGCCAACGATTAGCCAGCGTCATGCCGCTGTTGGCCGCATACTGCTACAAAGTGCAGAATGGTGTTTTTTCAACACGAACATGTGAATGTAGCATCACATTCCAGTCTCCAGCGCTTAATGACAGAGCAAAGAGAAGGGCAGAAATCACAGTTCTGACATGACCCTAGGTCAAGGGTCAGATGTTTTGGGCACTGATGGAGTCAAAGGCCAAAGCGTAATTGTTAAGTATGGCACGTATGGCTTTTCCAGTTACTCTAGTTTCTAACCTGACCACTAAGACAGAATCTCAGCTGTGTCTCTTCTCCCTGTGTACTGCACTATGTAGCCTCCCACGTCCAAATAAATGCTGCATATGTGTCACTGCAGCAAAAGGGGACAAACTCCCTATAAATACCGTTGATTTCAGATGAAACACTGGATGTCTACAAATATTATACATTTCCTGGGAAGGCTTTATGATAGATGTGAAGTAAGGATTTGATTGCATTCAGCCACAAGAGCAGTGAGGTTAGGTACTGATGTTGGTTGATCAGTTCTGAACACTCCAACTCATCCTAAAGGTACTGGATGGAGCCCCATGACTCCAGAGAACACAGTTCCACTGCTCCACAGCCCAGTGCTGGGGGGCTTTATACCCCTCTAGCTAAAGCTTGGTATTAGGCATAGTGACCTGTGGCTCATGCGTGGCTGCTCTTGAGCGCGCCATTCTATTGCCAATACTTTTCTGAATATAGAGGCATTTGGGATTTACTAAAAGACTACATAAATCACTGTTGGATTCATAGTGGCCATAGTTCCCTGACTTATCTAGTACAGAGCTTATCCTTCAAATCCCTTCTAGTAAGACATCTTCACATTGCATTATAGTGTGTAAATCTGAGTGCACTGTGGGTCTTTCACAGTGAACTATACTACCATTCAGCACTTTGGAATCATTGTTCAAAAGTTTGGAATCAAAGTTGCCATAAACGTTGCAAATAAAACTAATAAAAAGCAAATTTGATTGTATAAAATGATTCTAATATGCCTACCTCATGCAAATTCACAGATTTCAAATAACAGGACATAAACTCATATGCAAAAGAGGAATATTTCCATATATATTTTCAAAAGATAGGTCAAGTTTGCAATCTATTCGTATATATATTTGACATATATGCAAATATTAAAAACTGACAATTGACACTATTACATATATTTCACTTACACATGTGAATATAGTCCAATACACTGGCATATATGTACATATATTTGTCTATATTTAAATATTCAAAAACGGCACAGTAAATATGTTTAGCAAATATATTTTAAAACATCCCATATATTGCACATATATTTTGCTTCAATTTAGAAGTAAACATGACAAATGATGATATAGCCTTAGAATATTGAAAAATAATTAAGAAAGCTGTGTAACATTGAGAATTATGTTAAATCTCAAGGCAGATAACTTGGCCAAACTCTATTGTCTAAAACATCTAAGAAAACCTTCTGGTGAATAGTCTATAATACTTCAGTCCACCTTGTCTAAATTGTTATTCCAGGCAACCATTGTAAACAGGCCGCTATTGATAATAAGAATATGTTTTTAATGACTTGTCTAGTTAAATCAAAGGTTAAATAATACAAAAAATGTAGATAAAAACAACAAATTGTTAATATGACAAATGATTCCAAACTTTTGAACAGTAGCATATATATAGGGAGTAAAATCGACTGACATATTATTTGGTGCATTATTCCTATATCCTGTGTGCACTCTAAATCTCCCATGAGCTCGTAAGGTCACAGTAGTTTGGCCAGTTTCACAGCACATACAGATGCCCTCTACATCCACGAAGGAATTGTGACACTGCAAGTTCAAGTGACTTCTCTTTACTCGCTATGACATTTCTCAACTTTCTCCACACTGAGTGACCAACATTAGGTTGGGATGGTGGTGTGTGTCCCTCAGTTACTGACAGCTTCCCTTTTCTCAGTATACCAGCTCATGATGACAAACCTCAAACGGAGCCCTCAGCTCCTCCTATTTCTCTCAGCTTTTGAGGAAGGGAGATGTCACACACTCACAGTCCTGTCCCTTCAGGTCAAAGATAAGATGACCACTATTTTGAGCGTTTCTTTCTCTTTAACTTGGTAAGATAAGGGCTCTTCCTCAATCCATCACGCAGTGATGCTCACTCAGTTCTCCTTTTCGTGGCTCTTGTGCAACAGAACACAACTTTAACTCTTAGAAGTGAAGTCCTACATTTGTTATGTTGCTGTATTATCTGAATTTAATTACACAGTCAGTTCTAATTACATGGTTAGTTATGTAATGAGTTATAATCATGTGAAACAGGGAACTGCTTTAACGCACAATTTCTGTTTATTTGCTGAGTTTAACATATTGGGGAAAAAATAAAACATAAAATTGAAAATGTGCCAACACTTTGTGCCACAGTTTATGTATTATTTCCACCTGGAAATTCAACAAAACATGTAATTTGACTGGGGTTGCCCAAACCATAACCATATATTTCTATTTGATTTGCACTCAGTATGAAGGTGGAGTCTGCAAACTTTATTTTTTGCTTTGTTTTTGCTCAATAAATGACAAAACGATGATGAAAATGCAGTGGTGGACAGTAATGAAGTACATGTAGGGCTGGGCAGTATGACAATATGTATCATTATAATGATATATTAAGTCACAATGCAATACAATATGCTTTTCTAAACATATTATGGGCATCGTCAGTACTTGTAGAATACTGACCAACTGAAAATCATTGTATTCACAGTTTTTTGATTGCATTTTTTATAATGTAGCACTATTGGCTCTTTTTTCTCTGTTCTAACTGATCAGATGTCTGAAAAACTGAATATTGGGACATATCATATATCATGAAACTTTCTTAAAGTATTGCAATATTATATTTTTGCCATATCGCCCACCTCCAAGTACATGTGTTCTGTTACTGTACTTGTTTGAGTGTCTGTACTTCATTAAAGTATTTTAATTTTTCATACTTTCACTATTTTACATTTCAAAGTAAAACATCTCCACTACTATCTGCACAGATGTGTCGTTACCCAACCAATCCTAGCACATCTCTTTGCAAACCCCACCCCTAAAAAAAGACTGTTCTACTGAAGCCTAGCACCTGAAACTAGGCCCAGAAACCTCTGACGAGTTTCAGAATTTACTGATATGCCATATCATTTTGAGGGGTGGGCTTACTTTCACTTTTGTTGAAGTGAAAATAAGTACACACATCCTCTTTAGAGAACACACTTGAGCACATTTAATACACAATTACTGTTTATTAGCTGAATTTAACACAAAAAAAGGACAAAACATAAAACGTGGCCTGTGCAAAGTGATGGCATATTTTATATTTTATGCTTAATTTTTTCAATATGTTAAACTCATTAAATTAATAGAAATTAACTCTAAAATGTGCAGGAAATGTCATTTTTTTACAAGTATTTAGAAGATATCATCGGTTGGCACATACCTTGCATCTCCACCATTTTTTGACAAATTGAAAAAAACAGCTGCCCTTTACACTGTGTGAAAGTTTCATGATGAATGGACCAAAATGACTTGCAACAAAATCGCTTTCCTTTAACCTACACTGAAAGTTAAGAGAGTTTATCCCCTCTCCTGTAAAGTTCACCCCCTAAATGATGACAGCCCACTGCCAGAACCAAAGTTTCATTACAAACTTCTATAATCTAAGAATAGCTCAGACACTTTGCACTGAAGTCCCTGTAGCTTCTGAATAATAAGCCTAAGTATGTTATAAGCCTGATTTTAAGGGGTTAATTGGAGATCCAAGGTTTAGTCATGATCATGATATGTTAACTTATTTTCACTTAGAAAAATCAACAAAATGTAATTGACAGAGTTTTCAAAGTTTTGCTTACAACTGTAAATAGAGGACTTTTATTTTAACACGTTATATTTTGTAAAGCGTACCTCTAAGTACAGCAGCGTTTTGTCCACCAAAATGAAACTGATGCAACCTTTCATTAAAAAAATCATAGTAAAATATCTCCTCTTCACCTTACAGACACAAGTGTGGGATAGATTAAAAGTTTAGAATCTGCACTTTTAACAAAATTCCTGTCCTTGTTTCAATGAGCCTCAAGTGAGAAGTAATTAATATCGTTTCCTAACGTGCTTTTGTTATCGCTGGCCACTTCTCAGGGTTAAAGAGCAGATATGAAGCACTGACTGAGGAGCTGAATTAATAATTTATGCTGCAGGTAACTAAGGAAGGAGAAATGAGAAACGCAGCAGAGAGTGTGTGGAGTTCTCAGTGGAAAACAGAGCTGTTGAGCAGGAGGTAACTAGGAGAATGTGTGTGTGTGTGTGTATGTGTGTGTGTGTGTGGGAGGAGACTCACGGGTCGGAGAGCTGGGGCTTTGGGAATGCTGGCCGTTGGGTGCGTCTAGCGACAGGTCCACCAGCATTCTCGAGTTTTCTTTCCTAGGAGAGCAGTCGCCGTTACCTAGGAGACAGGCAGAAACAAGTGCACTGAGGACATCGCCCTGCTTCAGGCAGAGCACTGAGCTCAGCTTTATTCACTCGCACAGACAGACAGACACACGGACAGATAGAGAGATGCACACACACACACATACACACACACACACACACACACACACACACACACACACACACACACACACATTGACACATTCACACATGCAGACAGACACCCAAATGTACACACTCTCACATTCACACAAACATGCACACAAGCATACACAGACACACAATGCCATTCAAAAGTTTGGAATCACTTGCTATATTTACAGTTTTTCTTAATCTTTGTACAATTACATGCAATGTAAACACAAACCATTCATTAAATTTTAAGATGTTTTGTTCAATATTTAAGGAATCCCATATGTAAGAAGTGATTAATGATCAATAATCAATTGATCAGAGTTAAGTTTGATCAAAGCTCATGTTTTCATGCCATTTCAAGTGATTTCCTCAACAGGAAACAAACCTAAATATGCCAACTTTCCACAAATGTTTGTATGCAAATAACATTTATTATAAAATATAAAATGTGCCATTATTTTGCATTACTTTTTTCCTAACATATTAAATTCAGCAAATTAACAGTAATTGTGCATTAAAATGTGCAGCAGTGTGTTCGCTGTGGAGGACATGTTCATGTATTATCACTTAGAAAATCAACAAGGGGCCAAGGGCACCCAAACGTTTACCCTACCACTGTACACAAATGCACACTAATTCTGGGTGTGTGATTAATTATATCTGCTTTATTTGTTAAATTATATCATTTTGGATGTTATATAGCTTTCTCAGTCATGTTAGAATTTTCTACAGTCCTAAAAATTAAGGTGTTGAAAAGGTTCATGATGCCACAGAAGAACCACTTTTGATTCCCTAAAGTACTTTTTTAATGGATGGTTCTTTTTCGTGAATGAGATGTGTGAGTGTGAAGAACCTTTTAGACATTAAAAGAACCTCTACATAATGTAAAGGTTATGGGTAGAACCCTTAAACTAGTAAATGTTTACATCACATGAAGGTTCTTCAAACCACACACTCACACACCTCATTAACATTCTGTGCATGTCAAAAATGTTCTTTATGCTTTATTTGTAGCTTCTTAGAGTCTTACTAATTACTTGAAAGCTGTGAAGTTACACAGGACTAACATATTTTACAATAATTTTGTTTGTAACCAAATTGGTTTTCTATTATTGAAAATACTGACTACAACCTTTAGAACAGCGATTTCAACCTTCTGAATACTAAAATATCAGCTGACTGATAACATCAGCCAATATTTACAAGCTGCAGTTTTATCTGTATCAGTGAAAACATCGCTGATGAAACACAAGATTCTAACTCATGAGCTCGCAGAAATAGAGCTAAGCCTTAGACAGTTGTGCCACCAGGCAACCCAACACATGTCACCCCTTACATAAATACACAGCAATACAGGCTGGGCTTAACGTTTAACAGGAGAATAAAAACTTACAACATAAAAAAAAGTTTTTAAAGTCAACTAAAGAAAAAATCTGAAAAAAACAGGCAATAAAAAGAAACCAAAACTGCAAAGAATTATGAGTAGCTCCACCTCTAGTGCTACAATATTTGTCTTTTATAAGACTAGGGATGTGCATGTGTACATGATTAACTATTTGAGGTGCCAACATTTAAAAATTACAATTACTATTCAGGTATTTGTTACGTTCCGCCGTGGAAAGAGACCAACAATTTAGCAAGACACAAGAAGTTTGCTCATATTTATGAGTATGTCACATTGTACTTTGTTCAAAAACATGAATGCCAGGACACACTGCCAAGGATGCACTGCTAAAGACATGAATAAAGACAAATGTAGCACTGCTTTATTGCTAACTAGGCTAGTTTGTTTAATGGACATTAGCTAGATCAGGTAATTTCTCTAAGAAATAATGTTGGAATGTCATGGAATATCGTTCACTCCAAAGATATACATTATATATATATATATATATATATAAAACACGACCAATGCTTATTAGCACAAGTAACATATTAGTAACGTACTGTAACGTATATGGATACTGCGAGTATCCATACAGTAACAGTACAGTAAGTTACAGTACTATATCCCCCCTCCCCAAATGCCCCCCACCATTTCTTTCAAACCCCTGGGAGAAACACTGCACTGTTTAATTAGAAAAATTCCATGTAAAAGTAAAACATAAAACATATATACAGAATTACATCAACTAATATTATGAGTTATCAGTATTGTTAGCCTTTAATTGGCACATAATTTTTATACAGGCCAGGCCCTACAAAAAAAATGAAATACATACGCACTCATGTACAACCAACTCCAGGTGAACGCAAAAGTTTTAACAGCCTTGGTTAAATTACTTTTTTCATATGTTAAGTGAAAGTAAGTTAATACATGCTCTACACAGAACACACTTAAATATGGCTTGTTTTGCAAATTTTAGTGTATGATGTCTAAGAATTTAATGGGTTTTAATGTAAAGTCATAAGTTCTGTACAGGTCACATTTTATATTCAATTATTCCCCAATGTGTTAAACTCAGCAGTTAAACAGGTACTATGCATTAAGATGTGCAGAGGTGTGTTCTCTGTAGAGGATGTTTTCACTTATTTACACTAAATCAACAAAACGAGTAATTTGAGCAAACTTTAGCATACGACTATATCCAAACGCACACTCCTTCATGCTCTTTCTTAGAAGCAGACACATTTTGCAAAACCAACAAAAGAAAGTGTGGATTTCACCAGCAACCAGGCACTAAAGCAATGCTGAACCCCTCAGACCTCCTGCTGAGGGGTCTCAACTGTACATTCCTTTCAGCTGTACACTACACTTTTCTTTCGGCCTCTTAAAGGAAGCAGCACTCTCCGCTCCGTTTCAGGTACAGTATACACTTCCCCCCTCGTGTTAGCGGTCTTCTCCATTTCCCCACCGCCGTGTGCTTTCTGCAGTGTGTGTGGGGCAACGGCACATCGTCTCCTGCAGGGAGAGCTTGTTAAGCTTTCAGCCACATCCTTAACATCCAGATTGGATTTCCTCATCTCTCCACACCCGGTGCACGCAGGCCACAAGCCTCTACACAGCACTGTAGCGTTCACCCAGGGGGAGCAAGCCTTTCCTGACCGATCCACTTTCATACTGACCCCTTCAGAGCAGGAGGCACAATGCATGTGCAGTGGCCGTCATATTACACCAAACCAGTGCTGCCACTGTTATAGGAAATATATCATTTGAGGAAGCCAGCTCCCTTTACATTCTCTGGATGACTAATGGACCAGTAAATATGATGAAAAGTTTAAGGATGTCTGATGATATTGGATTCATACCAGTATCAGCAGAAAATGACTTCAAACGCACTGACAATGGACAGATGGTTAGACAATTCAAACTGGAAAAGCAGAACGTTTATGCAACACTGGGTAACTGCACTGAAATATCTGCAGTTTCTCTGCTGCATTTGCAACCCTACACTTATAAACATTATATGTATTTATTTTGTTATATACATTTCTGCTAATCCAGGTAGATGCAGTGCCAATTTCTAACTTTATTTGCAGATATGAGCATGAAAAATATATAACAGCTACAAAAGTTACTATTACCTGAATAGATGTTATGATGAAATAAGCCATTTTTGCTTCTGCGATAAAGTTACCATTTCAAGGCTGCAAAGTGAAGACACACAAAAACATCCCACTGCAACACAACATGGCACAAATCAATACTCTCTTTCATCCGCATCCCACAAAGACACACAATAAACTGTACATATTCTGTTCATAAGTTTAGTCAGCAATGGATACGACATTGTGCACCAGACCCTACCAATCAAAGGCTTGACCCTTTCATTACACCATCATTCATTTTCACTATTTTCCACAGAACCACAGTAAATACATCAACAGTATAAATGATGTCCTGATCCAGTTGTTTTGCTTCCCAATTTGGTTTGAGTATCAGATTTTTGTGTTTTCATATTTAATGCAGCTACACTATTTAGACAATGCTTGTCTGCTATTTAACAATGCAGTAAAATTGCTTAACTTTTAGTCTGTACATAATGTGACATTTAAAACTAATATGTATTTTGGCCTTTTTTTAATTACTATTTTATTGTGTCTTTATTGTTGATTATGCTACGGTTTGATCTTCCTGATGATTTTGGCTACCAGTTACTTCATCATTCAGCAGTAAACTGACCTAATTTTTGAAATGTAAATATGGGTAATTATTGAAATGTAAACACTGAACATTGACAGGGTTTTTTTTTTGGACCATTTATGTTCAAGTTATAGTGTTGTGATGCTCTGAATTTAACACTTATTTTAAAATGACTGTTTCCTCAATAGTTTTGTTTTTAACCAGACTTGCGAGTGAAAAACGGTGCAGTGCAGTGTTTTTCTACATGCTTTTCATGCTATGTCACTTGCAATAAACAGCAGAAAACAGTCAAAGACTCAAGGTGTAATAGCAATGTGATAGCAGATAATGCTCGTTTATGACACCTTCAAGACAGCAGTGTAAACAGAGAACAGAAAATAAGCTAAAGAATTGTAGCTGGATCAGACTTAATAGAGCCAATCCTTTAAAATATGCCTGGATCAGCTCTGATCTGGCTTGGGACTCCCCTAAAAATAGCAAATATAGAATTATGCAGCAACAAAAAAGTGTAAATCAAAAATCTTATTAATATTTTAGACTCTTCAAAGCTGCCCCTCTCTGCCTTGATGCAGTTTTACCTTCTCCTGGCATTCTCTCAGGCAGCTTCATGACTTTCCAACAGGACTGAAGGAATTTCACATATGCTGAGACCTTGCTGGCTGCTCAAAACTACTTCTTTGGGCATTTTTTGGAAACATTCACACAGAGGCCTCAACTTCACTGTGTAGTTTTATTTAAATTTGTTCAAGCATTTAAGTGTAAATCTTTAGATGAAATTGTCTGGAAGGTCACAG